AGCCAGAAAAAAACAATCAAAACAAAAAAACAGAAGGGTCAGAAAACTTATGGCAAAGGAAAAAACAGTGAGAATACTGTATATGTCAGGACTCTGGTTGCCATTTCATAAACAACCTTCTTCCTATTTTTGTGTAATTTACTTTAACATCCTGTTTCTTTCTTTATCCCATGTGTGACTTCGGGATTTTGAAATGGGCTGAAACCTTAGAAAGGTTTTGTTTATTGTGTATTGGGAGAAGGTGGAGTCTTCTCTGCTGAAATCCGGAAATGTTTAAAGAGAGATAATTGATGCTACTATAATGAAAAATGCCAACTTCTCCTCCCAGGAGGAGAATTGAAAGAAATACCACAGAAAGAAAAGCTATTTTGATTATATGTATTAGAGATTTATTATTTAATATATTTTGTTTGAAACAACTTTGCATTTTGAGATCAGTTTTGACATGATTTTCCAGCTGTTGTACAAGGCCAACTTCCACTCTTCAAGTAAAGATATGTATTCTTGTAATAAAATTTGCAAATTTTTGTGCTGTGGCAAAGACTGCCTTCTGAACTACATCCATGCTTTGCCCTTGAGCCCTGGGCTGAGCAGCCCAGCATAGCAGGAGCTCTATAAATTATCATGTTCCTTGTGACTTCAGTTACACCAATCTGTGCTTGCAAAGAAGCAAGCAAAGCAGCTCCCAGCCTTTCAGTAATTCCAGTTTGCAATGATAGTAAATGTGGTGCTTTCAGGGTTAAAAAATCATTTAGTAAGTCATTACACAGCTGAAGAGGACAAGGCAAAATCTGATAGTGTATCTTGAAGATTCTCTGTTTGTGTCCCTTGGGCTTTAGACGAGGCCAGAATGCAAACCTAAGTAAGAAGGTGATATGATTAATTTGGGAAAATCTTACGTTTACAGGTGGGTGCCAACAGGCAGCTCTGTGGCACTTGTAGTGCAGAGTCAGCAGATGGTGACACAGCCAAACTGTGGTAACACAACTGAGATGGCCTGGGAGCAGTGCACTGGCAGGCAGCAACAGCTGTGGGGCAGCTCAAAACTTTGACAGAGGCTCTGTGCAATGCTGGGATGCTAGAAGAGCTCAGTTGATAAAGTTCAGTGGCATTCTAGATTCAGAAATGACAGAGATTATTTTGAAGTTGCAGGAGAAAAAGGTTTTGCAGTAGTAGTGCAAGAGGAGAGTAAAGCAGCAGAGCTGGTTTTAGAGTGGCAGAACAAAGCAGGTGATTTCTAGTTCTAATTGCAATAGTGTTGGTTAATACTATTAATTTCTATTTTGCTGTGCTCTTCAGGATAAATTTTAAAAGGCTGTGAGCTTTAGAAATACATCTGTAAATTTGTATTTCCAAATCTCTTAGATATTTCTCGAATTTCCTTTGCTCATAGGATTTTTCTTGTATTGAATTCTGCTCCCAAACACACAGACTCAATGCAGGGACCATTTCTGAGTCCATGTGTAAGCAACTGTATCACTTGTGCTTCCACCATTCTCAAGATTTTATCATTTAATCTGCTCTTGGCCTGTGTCAGGGATGGGATTCTGGCTTGAAAAAATTCTGCCTCATCCACTGTAGGTATATTCTGTCCATCTCCATCTCCTTGTAACAACTACACTCATGAGCATATCCAAACAGAATTTCAGTCCCAAAAGACTGGGGGGACTTCAGTCCCCAAAAATGGAATGGGAGTGAGATCTCAGGTACTAGCCAGCCTCTGGACTACTTTCCATGATTCTTACCAAAGTTTAGAGCAATATTGCATTAACTAGAAAAACATTCTTTCTCCTGCAAAAGCAGACTTTTCTATCAAATGCTTTGGTGTACAGTTGTGTTTCTTTTAATATATGCTGGAAAAGATAATAAGCAAATGGTTCTAAATGTGAGGGAAAAACAGCAGCAGCACTTAATTATGAAAAAATTTCCTTTTAGCAAAAGAAATTAAAAAATGTAACCTCTGGTCCAAAACTTGTAATATGTTTTATAATATGTGGAAATAATAAAAAGAGAATAGGAATATTCTCTATGATATTTTTATCTTAACTCTATGTGCTAGCACCATTTCTCCTTTCATTTGAGCTACTTCATAAGAAAAAATTTTTCCTGAAATACATGAGATACTGAAGCAAGTCTATTTAATAATGTTTTTTAGAATTTTTGTTAATACCTACTTCCCGTTTACCATTTTTTTTCTGGTTTTTGTTCTTTTATCTATTTGCATTGTTTGTTGTGTTTTGTGGAGCAGTTGTAAATGATTCCTGGTTTTTCAAGAAAGATTTTAAGTTTTAGCATAGAAAGAACTTATAATATTTAAAAGAAATAGTTTTAACACTCTTTCAAATAGCCTCTTAATATGTGGACCCTGGAATTTTTACAAATGAATTTGTGACAGTCTGACATTCATGCATACCTTGACTAGTAAGTTTCTCAGTGAAGAACCTGTGAAATTTATCTCTGTGTAAAGCACTGTTACACTGGCAGAAATGGCAGATTTCATTTCTCTTTAACAGCAAGATTTTAAAGCTGCCTTGGGCTCCTTCCTGCATATTCATATGGGAAGCATCAAGCTGCTCTCACCGTTACTGAACACTTCTGTGTGTTGTAAACCCAGATGTGACAATCCAGGCCACACTCGCTTTCCCTGCAGGCTCTTGACATTCCATGAGCTCCAGAGATCTCTCTGAATAATGCTGAGGCCTTGCTTTTGAGACACAGCCAGCAATTACAGCCAAGGTGAAGCTGAAGTTCCAATCACACATCAACTTAGGCTTGCACAGCGTTTAACCCTCGGTCACTTTAAGGAGTTACTATGTAATTGTGGCAACTGATGTCACTCCATAATCATGAGATTACCAAGAAGTCACAGACAACTTCTCATTTGGTTTTATGCCCTATTTCTTCTAATTAGATCCCGACAGGATTTCCAGTTATTCACAATGTTTCGCTTTACAGCTCTGTGCCAGAAAAGTGCTATTTGCACTCAAGTCCCGTAGGTAACTGTGTTTGCCAGTCAAAACACTAATGTGGTTGTCTGAGTTTTTGCTTTAATTTTCTGTCTAAAACAGCCTTGGAAGGATAAACTGAATCTTAAATGGCACACTATAGAAATCCTTATGAAAATGGCTTAGTGCCATAATATGAAATGCATTCATTGAAACATTAGATTTTGTTAGGAAGAGTAAGAAAATAAAGGATCATGGTAAGTTTAAAGGTGATTCACAAAACCAAAGCTAACCTCAGAAGGAATGTTGTGCAGGATTGTTGTCTCCTTATTTATTCATCTTTACAATCATCTGTAGCTTTAGTCTAAATTAGTAGCATTTACCAACTGTATAATCCCTTTAAAAACTTAGAAAGCAGTTGTTTCTATTATTAAAAAAGGAATATGGTGAGCTAGTAAGAACTAGTAAATAGTGCAGATTAATTTAGTAATTGCTTTCTTCCTGGGTAGTTATGGAGTTTTGAACATATACACTGCTTAATTTTCAATCTTGTGATAAATTTCTCTTAATTCTTGTAATCATTCTGTACTATAGACTTGACCTGAAAATTTGTCCTCCTTTAAGTTAAATGTGCAAATCTTGTTGTAATCTTTAAATAAAATTATTTATTTATTAATTTTCCAATTAATGAATTAGAAAAAGAAATTTAAAATAAATATTCCCATTAATAAATACAATATGCAGGATAAAGTGAAACATTTTTTCTTAAATTGTATGAGATCCTAAATTGTTGATAGACTATATTTGCTATGTAACAGCACATTTTGTGAACCATGAGCTACCGCAAGATCCATATGCTGACCTTAGAAGTAGCATGAAAATCTCTTCATGCCACAAAAATTCAGTAGTCATGACACAAGACAGCCAAGAGTGCAAGAAAAGCAAAGTCAGCAGCTGGATCTTGGTGCCATAGCAGGAGAATCAGTATAATAGAATGTAATAATAAATCACTTATAGGCTGATGGGTTTATATCAAGCACTCATTAATAGAGAATTCCTAGAACGCATTTCTGTTTAATGTGAGACGTTTGTACTACATTCATTCGAGTAATATTGGAGACTTGATATAAGATGATTTGCTTAAAATCTTAATGAATTCACCCTCCTACATCTTGGGAAGTTCCTGTGCCTGGAGCCTGATGGTCTTGCAGATCCAAGCCACCATGCTGCTGATATCCTGAGTACTGAAAGGCACTACAGAGGTAAGATCAATCTCGAGCTCATGAGCCTATGAGAACTTAACTGGTTGATACTTGATCCACAAAAGGATTCAATGCTGCCTATGAAACATTTGTGCCTTCTTTGTCTGTTGAAAACTGTGGGTTGCACAAAATTGTTCCCTTTCCCATTAGGATGTCCCAGCTTCCAAGTGAAAGCCCTGGCAGTAGGTGCATGGTCATCTCACTTAGTCAATGGTTATTTCATTCAGCTGCAAGTGAACCATGTAGGTTAGCCTAGAGCTGAGCTGTTGAAAGAAGGCTGCCAATATCCATTCCTCATAGTGTGGAGCTAACTGTAGTAAGAAATTAAGTCAAACAGTGCAAAATTTTTCCAGCCAAGAGGCTCATTAAACCATCTGTTACTTATAATTTGGTATTCACATACAGTTCTTGGGAAATTTCAGGAGAGATCCTTGGCTGAGAAGTATCAGAATGTTGGAAGTCAGGTATTTCTCATACTAATTCAGTACAGACTTTCATCCTGACTGAGAGCAATTTCAAACATGTGACACATTTCTCAAGTTGCCTCTCTTATCACTAGAGTGTAACATGGTCTGTGATAAAGGTGACACAACTATGAAAGTCATTCTTGCTCAGTTGTCTGTATCAGACTACAAGGGCTGGGGCTTTGATGCCTAGCCAAGTAATTGTCTAGGAAGGGGAAATAAATTCCAGTAACTCTCATCTTTCTTACCCTTGCCTGTTGAGAAAAATTCAGCTGCTTATGGTTTTTATCACTTAGCCACTCCTACTTTGCTATATTAATTTTGTGGAAGTGTTAATAACAAACAAAGCAGTTAAGATGATACCTAACTGTTTGGGGGGGAAAAAGGAAAGAGATAAATAGTCCAAGTGACAAAACAGCATGTTTTTTATTTAGGGTAGAGCACATTCCAGAGACAAAAGCAAGGTGCCAGTCCTTTAATAGAGTTGCAGCTAGTTTCAAGCATTACTTGATTTATCAGTATGTGTACAGACACACAAACATACATATTTTGCTAGTACAAAATGCTTTCTCTTGAATACTTGTCATTTTGGCTTGATGGAAGTGAAAATTGGTTCATTCCCAGGTGCTTCTATTTGGAAGGTCAGTTTCTTCAGGACTTCCAGTCCACTTCCAGGGAGGGGAAGGTAACAAAATCTAGGTAAAAGAAAGATTTAATTTGTGTGTATCTTAAAAAAATAAACTGAGGAATTTCTGTATTTCTTACCTATATGGAAGATTTAAAAATTATGAATCTGGAATCCTGCAAAGTTAAGTAATTGGATTACTTTCTGACATCTGTGTAGTATTTCTACCTGTTAGTGAGCCAGCCCACTGAGGGACAACAAAGATAACATTTCTATAACACAAGGCAGCACCCAGCCGAGTACAGTATTTCAGAATATGAACCATTGTAAGAGAAGAAAAAAGAATATATTCTGGAAGATAAGTTGAAGGATAGTCCATTAGTAGCAGTGCAGTTTTCAGTAGCCTGTGTAGGAGAATCGAAGTTCTGCATTTCTTGCAGGTGAGATGGTCTGTTATGGATCTTGCTTTCATCATTCCCCTTTTTCTTTCTTGGTCCATAGGGACATCCATGTACCTCATGACTGCAGAGCAGGAAGGAGGATGTGGCAAACAGGCAAGGGACTGATGAACAAGGGTATTGCAGAGCTGCTGCTGGTGAGTAATAAGAAAACTTGGTCAAAAAGTTCTCCACCACTGTCTTGATACACTTCTTCAGACCATATGAAATACTGGCCTTAATAAAGTACAAAACAAGATTTAATGGTATTAGAATTTCCTGTGGAACATTGGGGGAATTAAATAACTTGCTCATATTCCTTCTTAAATGTTTTCATCTGACTTTACCTTGCCATATCCTAAGTTCTAGCTATCATCTGCATGTTGACCCAAAGCCTACTCTATTTTTTCACTCTGTCCATTTTGAATGAGTTTTGTTGGGTTTTTTTTGTTTTTGTTGTGAGAACAAATTATTTTGACATGCCTTGGTATATACAGATCAAAATAAAAGTGAATCTGAAGTCTTACTTCAGAATTCCCAAAGAGATTTTGAATACTTCAAGTCTCATATTTGAATTTGACTCTTGTTATACCCTAGATAATATTTCAGAGGGAAACTTCTTTCTACCTGTGTCACTGTGAAGATAACAGGAGCACAGCTATCCAAACTAATAAAGTTTGGCTTGAAATACAGCATTTGGCACTTAAAGTATGTGGATTTCAACACTATCCAACAGTTTCATTTTTAGATCCAGCACCACTAAACTCATACTTTCAGTTTTTTAGAAATAAAGTTTGGAATTTCCACAGCATGTTTTTTTTCCAGTAACAGAAGACTAAGATAAAAAATAGGGGCTTTTTTCTCTAGTGGCTTTTATTTATTATTGGATAAAATTTTTGTTCTTTCTGTGAAGTGAACAATGCCTCTAAATTGAAGAAAATAATAAATTAGCTATTCTGTGGTCTGTGCATGTCATCACACTTCTGTATTATTTTATTTGGCACCTTTGTGGATTCTGGTTGCCTTCAGACTAACCAGACAGGAAGTGTCCTAACTGAGAAGCTAGTGCTGAGAAAGATAATGGAGGAAGTAGATGCATTTATTTTTACATATGGTATTTAAGAAATTCCAGAAAAGGAAAAGAAGCAGATGATAAAACTTTCTTAAGATTTTTCTTTTTCTTCTTGCAATAGATGACAAGTGAGATGTGGAGTACAATTGTGAGGTGTGATGTGGGTTACAGGGTAATGCGTTGGTGTTCTTTTTGTAGTTAGGTACAAAGTTACAATTCCTGAAACAGACACAACCCTTTAAATAGATGTGCATGTAGATCTCATCTTCCCATCCGGAGATGAAAATTATAGGGAGTCAGTGATGCTCTCCTCCCCCTCTTGGGGCTATACAGAGATTGTATTATTGTCAGGTGGTGACAAAGCAGGTGGAGGGAGTCAGGAGAAGCAAAGTTTTGGGGCAGCTTTGGGAACCAAAAATCCAGGTGCTCTGAGGAAGGAGACAGTGTATAACCCATAGAGCAGGCTATTGAAGTTACTGAGAACTGAAACTGTTGAGGCTGGCAGATAATTTCCTACTGTATTAGCCATGTCTTCATACATGTCCTCCAGCTTTATGTTTTTGCAGTTACTTTATCAAGATATGACCATATTAAAGGTACTACCTTGCATGTGGTGCCTGAAGGGCATTCCTTCTTTGCTGATGAGAGTTTTCTCTCCGAGGTTAGTTCTCATTTGAGTTACAGCACAGTCCTCTGGTTCTTTTTCTTTAGGCACAATCATCCTGCAGAGGTATCAGACACTCTTTGCGTGGGGTGGAAGCTTTTCATCCCAGATGCTTCTGTAAAGCATCCAAAACTCTGAGGCTTTCTTCACTCAGACCCCCAGTGCATATCCCAAGAATATCTTTCCTGAGATGTGTGAGGGCTGCAGTTTGAATGGTGGACCTAAGTATGGACTTGCTGTAACACCTCTGATATGAGGCTAAAGAACTGCTGAGTCAGACTTTGCTGCATCCTATCAGTGGGATGTCAGATCAGATGAGTTTCCTTCTACCTTCTTTTTTCTTAAATTTCCTCTGTCAAAAGGATAGAGGAAATTTCTTTCTCTTCGCCATAGTTCCTTGGCCATAAATCACAAAAGCAGTGGTGAAGGTTTTAAGAGTCCAGTTTCTGCAAAAGGCTAGCTTTTCAGTTTTCCTCTAATAGCTTCCATAAGACAGGAGGAAAAAATGCAGGAAAAGGTATATAAGCATTGGATAACTAATATGTTGGATAACGTGCATTTTTTTCAAATAATTCATTAAGATTTCAAGAACTTGTTATCTCTTTTTCTTAGAGGAAGCTAATAAATGCATCATATAGGTATTTAATAGGATTGCAGAAGTAGGAGTTAAAGCAAATGATTAGCACAGTTCTGAAATGGTTTATTTTCTTAAATTCCAGATAAATCTGATGTAAATTTTAGTTTCCTGAAGGACACTTGTGTTTTCTTAAGCCAGGCCAAAAATTGTGTTCAGAATTTCCAAACTCTCTTTTGCAACACATAATTGCTTTATCTTTGTTTGTCCATTAAAGCCTTAGAAGTCTCTTTTGATTACTAGATGTATTGAAAAACATGTAGTTACATCCCAGTGCTTAATTCCTTTAATCTTTTTTGCCTTTAGTAATATTCTTGTAATACTTGTTTCATTCCAGACCTTATTACACTCTGCATGTGTCAAGATTTCTTCCAGTTGGTACTATAATACTTATCTCACTGTGGATGTAGATGCATCCTCTATTTTACCCCCAGCATCCTCCTCTGTGCTGTTTGAATAAAAAACTAGATTATCTGAACTCTCAAGGTCAAGTGCTAAAACTTGTCAGCTGATCTCTCTTTGTTTCCAGCTAGAACAGACAGTTCTGAAAATAACCCTACTTGGTGCCCATCTTCCTATTTTGAGCTTGATGCTGAGGGTAGTAGGAGCAAGAGTAATGTACATATTCTGTTTAAAGTACATAGAAGGCTTACATTTGAAGTTGTGTAAAGAGAAAGTTTTTGAAAACTTTTTAGATTTTTAGAAGATTTGTACTTCCTTTAGTAATATTTGTTGGCTAACTCTGCTCTTACCTCAACTGTCTGAGTCTGATGACTCAGTGTAGTAGTCCCTCTGGTAAGGATCCAGCTCCAGTAAAGTTAATGGCAGCTGCCCAGTTTAATTTACTGAGACCAGGATCAGAGTTATTTCCTATTTCATGTTATCTGATTAAGGACTTGATTAAAACTTTTCCAGTATGCAGATATTTTCTCCTATGTTTAATTTTTTTTCTGTTTAGAAACTGATTTCCCAGAAACAAGGAAATAGTACCCTTTTTCGCTTAGCTTCTGATGATTATTTAAGCAGTCCAAGCAGAAGAGTTTCATTTCTTGCTTTTCTCTGACTATGATTTAAAAGTTATTTGCAACTTAAGTGAGAGAGTACACTTTCCTTCAAGACCATTTTCTCTGCATTAAAATCCCATTGTGTAGATGTGTTATTTCCTATCCTGGCTAGCTCTTGGATTTTTTTGATTTGATAGCAGTACTTCCAGAACAGTACTCTGCTTGCATTTTGTGATACTTAAGAGTGTTTTATTCTTCCTCCTCCTCTTTCTCCACCTCTGTCTTTGCCTTTTCCTCATCCTCTTTCTCCTCCTCTAACAAAAAAAATATGATGGTGATAATAAAAATAAAATATTATGGTAGAATCTACTGTAGCAATTTCATTGAATTTTAGAAAAATATGATGGTGATAATAAAAATAAAATATTATGGTAGAATCTACTGTAGCAATTTAATTTTTAGTGACTTTTGGTTAGGCATTTCTAGATGCTTCAGATTTCCCTGTTTTATTGTCTTCTGAGTAATTCTTGGATTGTCTTGGAGTGGATTTTTCATTTGTTTTTGTGATGATGATGATGATGATTATTAATATTATTATTATTATCAATATAAACCCCAGCTCCCTCAGCTGCTCCTCAGAGCTGTGCTGCAGCCCCTTCCCTGAGGTGATGGCCCACAGCAGGCACAGCTCTCGAGTGTGGCCTCACCAGTGCCCAGCACAAGGGCACAATCCCTGCCCTGCTCCTGCTGGCCACACTATTCCTGACACGGGCCATCCTGGGCACAGCTGGCTCATGTTCAGCTCCTGTCAGTCGGCATCCTCAGGTCCTTTTGCCCTGGGGAGTTTTCCAGCCACTCTTCCCCAAGCCTGTAGTGCTGTATGGGGTTGTGAGCTAAGAACAGGACCTGGCACTTCACAGTATTGAACCTCATCCCATTGGCCTCAGCCAATCTATCCAGCCTGTCCAGATCCCTCTGTAGTACCTGAATTACTTAAGTAGTTGAATAAATAAACAACTGAGACTTAGAAACCTTTATCCATTTTTGCATTCATAGCATTTTCCAACTGAAAATTAAACACTGAAAACGTTACTTTTTTCCCTAACATCACTGCCATATTAACCAGCATGAGTTGTCCTCAGAAATATTCCAAGCTGGATTTGTATATCCACTGCAAAGTGGCATTGGGAATATTAATTAATTCCATTAATTTGAAGAGTATCAGCCTGACTCAAGCTGATTAAGTCAGATCTCCAGACTTCTGTTATCTGATGTATTCCTTCATTTTTAGAGATCAAAAATACTTAGGAACATGACTAACAACACCTCTGAAACTGGTAGCACAGTTTTCAAAGGAAATACTGAGTCATGTAATGTTATTTACAGAGCTGAGCATTGTTGGAATTGTTCTGAAGACTCAATCCCACAAAAATATTTTCATTAAAAACAAATTTGAATAACTTTTTTATCTGAGATATAGTTGCTTTCAATTACTTGGACTTACGCATGTTCTTTCGTTTTATCATTTGTTTGCAGGATCAGATCTGAAACAGATTTTTTCAAATGCAATAGGCACTGTATTTGCAAGCGTTACTATTTATTTTCCTGGGCTGTCACAAAAGCAGCAGAGGGCGCTGAGCCAACGGACACCGCCTGATATGGGTCTCTTCCTCCTTGCTCTGGATTTTCCCGTCCAGGGATTTCCCACTCTGCACCAAGGAGAGCCTTTATAAAGAGCAAGCTGGAGCTCTTGGAATAAACTGTGGCAGAGCAGCAAGATCTCACAGTGCTTCTTCACAGAAAATAGAAAGTAAACTTTTGAATTTACTTTCTTTATCTAGTAACAGCAATTATAAATGTTTAAAGAGATGGGAAGAACAAGCCAGGCTGTGCTAGTAATTTTGTGTGTGTTAAGAACTGGTAAGTTGGGGAAGGTAGGGGTTGGTGGTGCTTGGTTTATTTTTTAAAACTTTGTTAAATGTAAACTGACCTAAAATTTACTGTTTGATCTTTATTTCTCTTTTCTCCAGTTACCTTTTCATTTCAGTGAATACAACTGTCAATTAAGTAGTTCTGTCAAAATGTCAGGAAGCTTTTTTTGACATTTACTTTGAGCTTTTCTATGCTCTGCAATGACTCAGTCATTTTGCTATTGAGTTTGCTAAAAGACAGTCTAGGAGACAACTGCAGTATATCACTGAATGCTTGATTTTTTTACTGTCATTCCTGACAGTAGCAGGCAAGTTTGGAACTAAATGTCCTGTTGAAAGTATTTCTGCTGTTGTCTTTGCTATCTTCCTGCTACGTCTCCCCTCAAATGTTACGAAGTTTTAGAACCAAATCCACCTGACAAAAAAGTTCTATTGTGCTAATACATTTATTTAAATTTTGTTGATGCAATTTTATATATGAAAACTGGCAGTCATCTGAGTGTGTGTTGTCTTTGACAATAGCCATGTTTATGGGGTGTTTTGGATATGTAAACCACTGTATGAGCTTTATCAGTTTAACTTCCACACAACCATAAAGAAATGAAGCATAAAGTCCTCATGTCACAGTAGAATATGAGAAGAAATAGGAAGATAAAAGTTGAGAAAGCTGCTGAATTGATGTGTGTTTTCCCTTTTGTAGTTAAAGCTTTTGAAATGGAAATTATACCTGCTGAGAGAATTGTGGCACAGATTGGAGGCACACTCGTACTCACATGCAATACTACTGGCTGTGCATCACCAAGTTTTTCCTGGAGAACACAGATGGACAGCCCCCTTGGAGGAAAAGTCAGCAGCCACAGGACATATTCTACATTGACTATGAATCCAGTTAGCATTGTGAATTCTCATTCTTATCTTTGTACTGTCATATGTGATGAGGGAGGGAAAAAGGAGAAGAGTGTCAAAGTTGAACTTTACTGTAAGTAAAAATGTAAAATTCTCTTTAAATAGTACATATTGATAGAAAACTCACTAATTGTTTTAGATATTGTGGTTATCAGTTAACTTTTAATTCTAGCATAATGAGTGTTATAGCTCAACATATACTTCCTTCTGAGATTCCTTTATATGCCTGTTCAGGACCCTTTCTTAGCCCTTTTCTGCTTTCTGCATTGAAGATTGTATATACTAGCATTATTTATTCTTGGTTTTGGTAATTCTTAAAAGCCAAAGCATGCATTGCTTTAATGCATTCCTAGAGCTGGGGAAATAAAAATCAAAGCCTTTGTAGTTTGCAGGAGAATAATTCAGATGTCTAAACCTACCAGCACAGCAAACAGGATAGCACTAGTGTATGGATTGCTCTGAATGGCTATAGTTAAGCAGCTGTATCACTGCCTAGGTGCCATGCTGAATTTTACTAATCCTTTGTGATAATTTTTCAACAATTATACAAATAAACTTCCTGTTAGTATATGTACTGCTGATAAAGGATCTGTAGGTCTTCAGATCAAGATGTGTCTTGTAATAATGTTGATAGAATGTCACGATTCTGAGCACCTCTAAACTCAAGATATTTGGTGTCTGGATCTTGCTCTTCTGTTGACCCTACTGTTCTTCTCTGCTAGTCTAAAGAAATTGATTTTATTCTTTTAGCTTTCCCCAGTGATCCTATCATTGAGATCAGCCCATCCTTAGTTGCTGGAAAACCAGCCACTGTCACCTGTAAAATTCCTGATGTGTATCCTTCTGATCACCTGGAAGTTCTGCTAAAGAAAGATGAACACGTTCTTCATGAGAAATATTTTTTGGAAGATGACAGCACAAATACAGAGACCAAAACTGTGACATATACATTTCATCCCACGGCTGAAGATGCTGGGAAAGAGATTACCTGTGTGGCCAGATTACCAATTGCTGATATGGATTTTGAACCCAAAGAAAGAACATCTTCTCAGAAACTTAATGCAAATTGTAAGTATTTTTGTACAAGGGCTTTTGCTAGTTCAGCTTTCAAAGCTGCAAGCAAAACATCTTAATAATTCTGGAAAAATGGTCCCACTGTGCTACTGGGATACATATTTTTCTTTTTTTTCTTGATATTATGTGACATGTACTTCTGGAAAAGCTAGTGTTAGAGATGTGCATGTCATTATTTATTTACATACTGATCTTGTCTTCCTTTTGTTTTCTTACAGTTGGTCCACAAAATACTGTCATTACTGCATCTCCAGACAGCTCACCAATGGAAGGAGACTCTCTGAACCTCACTTGTGTGACTCAGAGTAACCCACCAGCACAAATAGTTTGGAGTAAATATTTGGCTGAAGAAAGCATTCAGCGTCTGATAAAAAACAATGTTCTTTCTATTCCCCGTGTCCATTTCAATGATTCAGGACGGTACATCTGTGAAGTAATTAATCTGGTAACTAACAAAACAGAGAAAGCAACTGTGGACATTATTATACAAGGTACAAGTCTATTTGAATTTCACTTGTATTATCCAGTATCTAACTGGTACCTAACTGGTCTGACCTCTGTTAGATTGGAGGATGCTGAAACACTGAAAATTAGGAAAATATGGGGCTTTCCTTGTTACATATTCAGGATTCAGCTTCAATTTGAGGCTGTTCCTCATGTCCTGTAGTTTTTCTTTCTATATTTAATTTTCAGCTAATTCTCTCAGTACTGCTGTTGTACTTTTACATTTCAATACATTTCCCACAATACTACACTAAAAGTCAGAAAAGAGTCTAAGAAAGTGCTGGGGACACACACACTGTTATTTCTGTGAAATGTGCATACCAGTTTCACAGGGACATCACAGTCTCCTTCTTTGAACTAATAGTTTTAGTCATTAGCATTACATTTAATAGGCATTTAATGGTAAAACTGTTTTGGACATAATAATATTATTGTTGTTGTAATATCTTGTGATTGATTGATTGATTGATATTGACTGCTACTGCTTTGACAGACCCAAAAGTCTTAGATTGAGGCTGGGGTCAAAACCAAAATAAACAGATCCTTGAGCAAGCAATTCTTGCTTTCTTAAAACCTTTTCCATCTTTGGTACCTTTGCATTGCTCTAACAGCCTTTTCTTTTGTCATGCAGGTGCTCCAGTCATTACAAAACTGTCAATTGAACCTTCTGCAACAGTTCAGGAAGGAGAAAATGTTTCTATACAATGTTCTGCTGAAAGTAACCCTCCTCCCAAGATTATTTTAAGGAGAAAATTTGATAATGCAAATGCAGGGCATTACAGTGCCAGGAGTATTCTTCTTCCATCTGTGATGTTCCAAAATGGAGGAGACTATGAATGTGTAGCACAAAATAAGTATGGGAACAGTAAAAGTGAAATCACGCTTAATGTGAAATGTAAGTATGTGTAAAGTTTTCCCAGTCACTCAAAAATAATTAGTAAGTTCTTCAGTGATTAAATATAACCATCAAATTAAATGAAACCCTGTGAGAACAAAGAATCATCATAGTCCTCTGCCTTTCCCAAAGAAAGGAGCAGTACTGATGAACAAAACAAAGTCACAAAATCATTAATGTGATGACAGTCTTTAGTGGAGATCTGAATGAGTGAGAAACTGATCTCCACAGTTAGAAGTATTTGGTTAGAATGTCTAGGCTATGGAGGGTTTGTACAGAAACTCTGATACCATGTGCTTTACTTTTGTTTTGAGAATGAAAAAGAAATTAGCTTTGGGAGGGTGAGAATCTAGTATCCAATAAGACGTGTTGGATTCATCTCTAAAAAATCCAGTGATGATTAACTATAGGACTCTTCCTTTCAGATGGACCAAAGAATACAATGATCACTGTTTTCCCTACTGCTGCTCTTAAAGAAGGAGAAACTGTAACAATGAAATGTACTAGTTCTGGTAATCCAGCTCCTGTGATCTCCTGGAACAAAAAGAAGGCCACCGGGGAGTCTGAGAAAATTTCAGAAAATGCAACTATAACTATACGGAACTTGAAAAGCCAAGATCTGGGGCTTTATGAATGTGAAGCCTATAATCAATTTGGCAAGGAAGAAAAAGCTGTGAAGTTATATGTTCAAGGTTTGTAGAACAAGACGGAAAACAAGTTTTTTGGTTTATGTATTTTAGGTCCAGATCTTCTTTTTTAAGAATGAGGTAATTGTGTCTTTGATGTCAATGGAGTTAAAAGGTGGCCCTAATGTCACTAAGTGATTTAGGAAGCTTTAAACAATGAAGTGTGAAGTCTGCCTTAATACAGATAGATTATGAAAAGTTCTTAAGTCGGTGGGGCTTCCGTCACGCCTTCCAACTGCCAAGTGTATGTGTGAGGTAAAGAAGGTGTGCAGTACCTGGGAGGAAATATCTTTCCAAGCAGGCCTATCAGTGGATATATGCATAGGAAAGATTCAAGGAGACAGTAAATGCTGAAGCTGCTCTATAGAAGCAGTTTCTTGCTTCTTCCCTAAGCTTCAACTCTGTTTCCTGCTCTTACAAGCTGCATTTAAGCTACAAGAAATGCTGATTCCCCAACTTACATGGAATAAGCGAAGTTTCATTTTCAGTAGTAATCAGACTTCTCTGCTTTAGCTCTGCTGCTTCTGCCTATTGCATAGCAACAGTGTCTTGCTTAGGGATCACTTCTGCCACGAATTCAGCTCTCTTCCCTGTTCTTTACTATTTTTATAACTGCACCAAAAAATACACTTTTGATTTCCCCTTCCAGCAAAGCGAAACAAGGACGAAGTGTTACTACTCCTTGCATATCTGCAGATGTTACATCTCTTAGGACTAGCCTGTAAAGGAAAGTTGGTGATGGGTTCACAACCCTTGAAACAGTAGATAGAAATATACCACAGACAGGGCTCAGCTAAGGGATGCAGGAAAATACACATGCATACTGTTAATGAACCGGGGGAGCAGTCTCAGCACATAGCACTTATGTCAAAGGTTAGTTAATATAACTGCTGTGCAGAGCTCATACTAGGATTTGTCTTACACAGAGTGATCTCTTCAGTTTCATTAACAATGGTCTTTAAAAAATCTGACATGATTTGCATTGGCTCTTATCATATGTGATAGGGTCTTAATGCAAATGAAAACTTCTGTCCAAAATAGCAGATGCATAAAATAATTGCTGCTTCAAATTTTTTTGTATTTCTACTTCATCTTTTGAAAACAGGATATAAAATTGCAGAACCTTGTGGGAAAAAAAATGCAGCTCTAGGACTCCTTCCTCTGCTTTTTCTATTGTTCTTCTGTTGAAAGAGTACATCAGCCTCTGGGTTTGTTGGTCTGTGCCCTTTCATGAACTCAAACAAATAAACCATGGATTTGAAATAAGAAAAGAAAAAGAGACTCCATATAATGGAAAAATTATGCAACATACTCTGTCAATTGATAAAATGTTCTTTTTGCCAGCTGCTGTTGGCTTCAGTGGTGAAGGATAGCTGGTGACAGAGCAGTATGGGCTAAAGGTCTAAAGCTACGGGCTCAGCTACTACAGTGGGCCCATTAACTGGATTCATATTTTGCATGTAAAAGCTGCTGATGCCTCATGAGTTTTGCTTCTGTTTGTTGCTAAATCCTACCTTGAATTTCTTTTCAGTTCCTCTCCAAAATATTACTGTATTAATATATCTGTCAGAAAATGTTAAAGAAGTAGAAAATATCACTGTTACATGTAGCAGATACACCCTCAGAGATGGTCCTGAAAAAAAGCCCATCAGGAGAAATCATTCTGCCGTCAGTGAATGGAAACTTTATACTCTGCAGTGTCACCAAAAATTATACAAGCATATACGCCCTTCATATTTTCAGTAAGGTTGGAACAGCATTACAGAGATTGAGATAACTGTTGTAGGTAGCTGGTTCTATTGCCTTAAACCTATTTTTTTTGTGCATTTTAGTGAAATTTCTGTCAAGGTGAGCACAACTGCTTTATAGCTGATCCTTGTCTGGAAGTACTGTGGTTAACCTGAAAAAAAACCCTCACCCAAAATCAAACCAAACAACCTGGTCAGAATAAGCTGTATTTTAACCTCCTTTCAGTGTGGCTGTCATTGTCTCTCTTAGATGAGTTGGTGTGGTAGCTTTAAGGATAGGGCCACAACAGGCGATTCTCAGCTGCATTTCTGTCCACATGCTTGGACAATGAGACTAATCCAGAGAAGGTTGTGTTTCACAGAAAATCTAAATATTGAGCTTTTAAAATATGGTCTTCCCCTTGAAGAATGAATTTCAGGAGGTTGAAATGTACCCAAATGTTTGCTGGATATAATATGTGATATTCCTCTTGTATTCTTTGTGAATTTCATGGTATTCCTCTTTATAGATGATATCAGATAGGTTCGAACTTGCATAGCAAATTCAAGACCGAGACAGTGGCTAGGAATTAAAACGTGTAATATGAAGGTCTAAAGAAAAAAAGTAAAGGAAATCTCAAAAAGTATGCTTTGTGCATGAAAACAGAAATATGTTCCAAATGAAGGTCATGAATAACACTGTTTTTACAGTGATGCACATGTATCTGATTCAAAGAATATTTACACATTTTTTTCTCCTTTTGTCTCCATTTTCAGCAAGATTGGAAGAACCAGATCAGATGATACCACTGATTATTGCATTCTCATCTGTAGCAGCAGTAGCAGTACCTGCAGTTGCAATTTTGATCTACGTGTCAAGACAAGCAAAAATCAATGGATCCTACAGTCTTGTAAAAGCACTCAGGTTGAAAGTTTGATCATGTGAATATAAGTCTTTAGTTGATAATAAGCACATTTATTTATTGCTGTGACTGGTTCTACTCTTCTGTAACATGGTAACAAACAAGTGACTTAAGAACAGTACCATGTAATAGCAAATGGGCTTATTTTCATGTTTTGATAAGTGTTTTGGTATTTAAATTAAAGGAAGAGCTAGAATCCTGACCTAGAAATTGGTAAATCATTCATCTGTGTTGAAGCATTCTGAACAAAGAGTTCTGTGAAGAACTAGGTTTGTACATAGTGTATAATTTGTGTTATAAATATGTTCAACTAAATATCAGTTTGTAAAACTGAAGTCTTATTGCAACTGTACAGAGAAATTTTGTTAATTCAAATATATACATCAATATTGCTTGAGCTGATCAGGTGATTTTTATTTTGTATTACTCTGCAGCATGAATGTTTTTTAATATAATTTATCTGGTTGTGGTAATTTTTGGAAAATGTTCTCTTTTCACTGATATTGCCATAAACTCTGTACCTTCAGTGAAGTTACATAATCACTGGGCTATGCATTTCTAACAAATTTAAACTAATTTAAGCCTTTGAGGCTCATTTGCAAAACTTTTAATTGTAAATATTATTCAAAAAATGTCTGGGGTTATAATCCTGTAAGTTCTAGTACTGCTAAGGTATTCTTGCTGGCTTCAATCATTCTCAGATCAATGTCAGAATTCCGTTATTTTGTGATGAGCCAAATCAGACTTTCTTGTAAAATATAATGGCATTGTAAATATGCTTTACAGATTTCCACTGCAAAATAAAACTACCAGTAGATTTCTTTGACTAAATCCCCCTAGTGATGGTTGTTTAAGATAATGCCAGAATGCACATTACTCTGGAAGGAAACTGTCCTTGGCAGCAGCAGTTGTGGGTGTCACAATGGGAAAGACACAAACAAGGCCCCCAGCCTCAAGGCACAGGCGGGGACACAGGCAAAGTCTGTGCACCTCGGCGATGGTGAGTGAGTTGTTGCCTGAAGAAATGCCCTTCCCAAGCTCCTCACTGTGAAAATCTAAACCACATGCTTGACAATTTCCCTTTTAACAGGGAGCCAGTGTCTGCATGCTTCACTCTGGTTGGCACCTCTTTCACCACACACTTTCCAGAGCTGGCAAAATGGCTGTGAAAATAGTGAACTTCTGGTGCAGAAGCCAAGATGGAGGGAAGGAGAGGTGGAAGAGGTAGTATTCCTCTTTACCTCCCTTCTCCTGACTGGCAGTGGTGCTTTGACTGATCTGGGTGCTGATATTCAGCACCGAAGGCAAAGTTGTGGGAGGTGCAGGCTCTGTGGCTGAGATGTTGACATGTGTCCTGATGCACTGTGGCCAGATCCACAGTGCTAAGCCAGGAAGGTGGGCCTGGCCCCTCCAAACCTGCACACAAGAAGCTCAAGCAGGGATATGTGAAAAGAATATGTCTTTACATTATACACATGGTGACAACTGCTGCCAACAGCAATGCAAATGTGAGTGCTAGCTCTGGGATGAGGCTACCTCTGGGATGAGGCAGTGGTGCACATCTCCCATATTTTTTCATAGTTTGTTCAGCAGTGTTTTGTGCTGTAAATCAGTTCATGCAGGATGTCTATCTAGATTGGAAAGGGAGGCTTGGAAAGTGGGGGTGTAGCAGAAAAATGGGAGAGCAGTGTGGACTTGGCTTGGAGGAATGTGAACATGCAGTAGGAGGGTGAAGAAAAGATTGAAGACAGAGGAGGAGGAGAGCTTTGACAGGCCCATGACATAAATTTCTTGGAGGTGGTGCCAGGCATATTTATTCAGAATAATGTCAGGCCTGTCTCAGTGCTGTCTTGTGAATAAACCAGAAAGCATGATTTTTTCCACTGTGCAAAATTTTGGTGCACATACATTTTGCCTAATCAGTGAGGTTCTGGTATCTGTATTGCAGGAAGGATAGCTAGGAGAGATACAGGGAAGGAGGTCTGGAAAACAGGACAAATTAAAATGCCTGGGACTTTCCAGTTTGGAGAGAGAATGCTGAAGGAGGAGGGGCTCTGACTGATGTTTTCCAAATTGTGAAAGCAGTTGATGAAAAACAACAGATGCAAAACTGTTTGCTAAAACATGCAATTCCAGAACAACAGGATATTCAATGTAAGGAGAAAGTGTTTTAACAAAAAAAAAAACAACAAAAAAAAAACAAAAAAACAACCCACAAAAACAAAAACCAGTTCTTTTTCACAGGGTGAATGTTAATCTACTGGAAGCTGCTGCAGAAGGTCAGGGGCATAACAGTATCAATTGGTTCAAAAGCAGAATGGAAAAAATAATGGGCTAAAGGTCCATAAAAAAACCAAAAGGGAGTAGACAGAAATGTACTGTACAACATCCCTTATTGAATGGCCATTGATGCTGAGCAGTCCTCAGGATACATAACAGAGAAAGTGGCCAGTGTATCACATCCTGAAATAGTGTCTTTCACTGCTGTAGACATCCTGGGGTTGGTGGGTTACTGGTGAGACCCACCAAGGTATGCCTTGCCTTCTTACTCCTCCTCTGGGCAGCCTTGGGCCAGACCTTGCAGAAGGGGCATTAAAGTTCCTGTGCTGTTTTTCCCCCTCCTGCGGACTGAGAGGTTGGAAGATGAGTGGGAGAGAAATAAGAGCCATCTTGCAATAGTGCTTTGGTGCTTGAGTAGTCTTTACTGGAAATTCCTCCACAAGTTTCCAGTACTCTTTCAGCTGTTGGTTTTGTCACTATTTCTGATACAGATACAGATGTTAATTCCTTGTGGCTTGTCTGCCCTCTAAGGACCTCCATTAAGGTGTGAAGTAACTTAAGTCAGTAGGAATTTTCCCTTGATTTCAACAGGGTCAGCTTTCCCCTCCAAAAATGTTAAATAAATAGAAAGAATTTCTAGTGTCCATTTTAGGAGAGGCTGCTCTTGTGTTGGAGTGAGCTTCCTAGCAGTGAAATCACAAAGTCTTGCCAGGGGATTTCCTGCCCTACTGTCAGATTCTCGGTATTTTCCAGGGAACTTAGTGATATCAGTACAAGCTTGTCCTATGAAGGTTTAAAGTTCACAGTCAAATAACTTCTCTTTTTATTTACAACTACAGAAGGAATATTGGTTCTCCTTACACAGTTTCTCATCAAGCAGCTTGCAGAACCTCTGCCCTGGCAAAGTCATGAAGAGCAGCTCCAGCCCAGCAAGTGGTTTCAGAGCTGCCTGGAGGTCTAGGTAAGAATCTGTGTCACAAGGGCATGTCTTTATGATCAAGAAAGTGGTCTGTAAAGCAAAGAGCTGACAGGTCCTCTCAGGGTTTCTCTATAAAGTCACTTCACACGTTATAGATTTGCATTTTCCCCTGTCTGATCTTTGCTCAAGCATAGCTTTGTCTTTTCCTCTTCAGGAGTTTAGCCCAAAACTACCACTGGGTAATGCTCATATGAATCAGGATTTTAACAGGTGATTGCAAATTCTCACTCCCTGAAGTCAGTTCAGGATATGTTTTTTCATGAAAAGCTCAATCAGGAAAAGATACATATTTTAAATATCTCCAAGAATGCTCTCAAATAATTTTTTAGGTATACTGAAGGAGACAGTTAATATATTACATGTGAGATGTGCTGTTATCTGTTGGAGATAACACTGGTGGCCTTGCATTTGAAGAGGCAGGCTCCTCTGTTTTCAGGGACTAGCAGGGCCTGATCAGGATATTTAAGGCCAAATGATGATCTGGTGTCTCTGAATGGGGCAGGCCATTCAGCTCCACGGACTTGCTGCTGTGCTGGACCACATAACTTCTTTAAGCAGAGTGTGTTCCCCTGTGAGGGATTTGATCTGGAAATTCCTCACAGAGAGTTTGCAATTGTCCTTGGTTATCAGTGGTGCCCTGCCTGTGATATACACATGGCCTACTTCCTAATCCAATTTTTCTGTCCTTTTACACCATTCTGCCCAAATGATGATTGCATGCTGTAATCAAGTAATCTCTTATTTCTTTGGTAAACTAAAGACATAGGGCTGTTGGAAGCCTACATTTATGAGGCCTTTTCTACACCAGTAAATAATTCTTGTGTTTTCTTCTAAATCCCCTCCGGCGCTGCACAAACCTTTTAACATGAGGCAAAAAAAAAAACTTTGTCAAACCAACCAGTCTGAATTTTATCTAGACCATGCAACTTAGCAATCAAAACCTGACAGAGTTTTTGACACTGTACTCAGTTTGAAGGCCACTTCACATTTAAGAAAGAAGTGAGAGAAGTGGTTATATCAAGGAAACTCCCTCTCTTGTTCCATTGTCTGTTGTGAAGCTCAACAACCTATAAGCCTCCAATCTTTTGGGATCCACATGCTATAAATGCCACCAAAGAGGTGCAAGTTATGTTACCAGAAATATGGAAATTTTTGTGAAAAGAGTAATGTGCTTTGTTGTTAGCTGCCAGGCATCTTAGTAGCGTTTTGTTCCAAGCACCTGGGTACCTGCCAGGTACAAAAGCAGGGGATCTCCTGCCTGTTCCTCTGTCCTTCTCACCTGAGGAGTCCTTCTGGTGCTGCTGAAGTACACAGAATGGCCAAACATGTGACTGTGAGATACAGGGTTGGGAAATTCCCCTTGTTTACGAGGTCCTTAGTTCCTCTCACTGGTTCTGCTATGTTTAAGGCTCATTGCAAATGAAACAAGAGAAACAGTTTTTTGACAGGTTGAAAATTTACCCTTTGAGGGCACCTATTAGTTTTTGCAATGCAAAGAAATTGGGACATTTAAATCTGAATATTTATTTTTTTCAAAATAAAAAAATATATTTTATAAATAGATGTGATAGGGAGGGTCTGGGACTCGGTGCTTATGTGACCTGAAAGAGGAAAACAATTACTTTTTTTTTTTGTAATTGCAGTAATAAATACTATATCCATGTGTTAAAAGAGACAGGAGCATATGAGGAAAGTAAGAAAGTGAGATCATTTTACTGTAATCCTCTTTGCTGTGCATGACTGTAAAAGCTAAAATGATCTGTCCTAATGCTGCTGGTTTTTTTCTCTTAAATATTTTTCCTTTCCTTTTGAATGAGAGGCAGATATGGGACATCTGCTCTCAGCAGCTGAAATGGTGGCATATGATGTTCCAACACAGATGTCATGTCTTGAACACTCCCACATATTTCCAACTGTTATATTTCATGTTGTTCTTTCATATTTATTGGAGATTTCCAGTGATGGAAACTATCAGTTTTACAGTGATGTAACTTTGAGACACTGATACCAGTTGAGCCACAGAGCCTCTTTGCTAGTCAAGCCTGGTGGATTAAACTAGCTTTTTACATTCCCAGGCACTTGGTGTACAGGGCAGAAAACAGCACTTGACCCTTTGGTACTACTGCTAACATGCAGCTGAATAGAGAACTTCAGAGCATAGGGCTGTGATATTTACTTGACTTTCAACTAATGTGCTCAAACAGCAAAATATTACCACAAATGGTTGTAATGGTGGCAAACATTTGCTTGTTTCAATATCAGAAATACATATAAAATAGAGTTAAAACAGAACTGCATTCAGTTTTTTTAAATGGCATTGAAATAATATCTACTTTTTTTTATTTCCTGCTCAACTAAAATTGAATATTTTGTCCCTTCATTTGTATCCAAGCATCAAAACAGTTGAGTGAGGTAAGACAGCATGATTCTTCACTGTTGAATAATCATTCAGGCACTCATATCTGAAAACCATGCAGAAATAAATATTTTAGTGAGCTAATTTAGGTTTTGTAGATAAGCTCTGGGAAAAAGGAAAGAAAATTTCCTCCTTACAAACAAAATGAAGTTCCAGCACCACATTGTTGTTGAGGCTTTTGTTCTCGCTCATAATCACAATGGTCTTGGTGCTGATAACAGAGCAGGGATGGAGCAGATAGCAAGATTTTGTTTGTATTGATTAAAGATCACTTCTTTTGGGAAATTGTGACAATGTTGGCATAAGTCACTTTTCCCAAGTTGCCTGAGGGGAAGTAAAAAGCAAGAATATGGCAGAATCAGGCTCTGCTTTCTTTGTCTGACAGCCAAAAAAGTAGTATATCTGTAGAAGCAGATAAAGAAATGAAAAGAATGCAGGAGAATGTGTTTCCACATCTAAAGGTAATTTCCTAGGCTAAAATTCCGTGTTCAAAACACAAATGTACTGAAATATCCTATGTATTTTATTGTATATATAAGCTTTTTGTCAGAACTTAATTCTTCCCTCTTTTCTGTTTAGTAGTGTCTGTGGTAGCAAGCAGTTGAAGATCACACTTTACCTGTAGACTGTATGTGTGATTATTTCTGTTTTCCTTCCTGTTTCTAGCTCACCATTAATTCAATAAAATGAGAAGCTATAAATTTCCAACATTCTCTTCTTCAAACATGAAAATCTACTTTATAAAAGCTGTTGTCCTTTTTAATTAGCCAAGTCCTCTTGCTGCAAAAATGAGAGACAGGTGAGTAGATGTGAGTCATGATCAGGGCACCTGTTCAGCCTTGGGCTTGATTTAATAGGGAAGAGCAGATAAATTCAGTGTGAGATTACTGCTGAATCACCCACAAGGTTTCTGCAGTCTTTTATGGATGCATATGCATAATTTTTGAATGAGACCAAATTAAGAAGGTAACGAGATAATTGTAGAAAGACTCAGTGAAAGGGAAATGATGTTCATTATGATGTAGAGCATGAGAATGACCACGCTATGTCTAGCTGAGGTTTTTAACCAGCAGCAGGTAAAACTGAACGCTTAAAAATGCTGTAAAATCAACAAGCATGGTAATATGCTCTCTAAATGCACTCCCAGCCTCCAGCTCCTTTGAAGCTCAGGAGTTTCCTGAGTCAGAGTTTTTTTCACTGCACTTAGTAACTTGCAAGGGGGTTGTTTTGTGTTCATTTTGTCACTTGAAATTATATAAATCCATAGCATGCACAACATCCTTGTTTTCAAGAGAAGAAGCACTGCTTTGCTGAGTTTGAGATCTTATGGTGGTATGTTGGGGAGCTTTTGAAATGTCTGCCTTACACTATTTTGGTTTGTGTTCTTTTCAAAATGGAAGAAAGTGGGAGAAGGTTTGAGCCATCTTTCAACACTGAGCTATCTAGATTTCTAGATAATGTCTGGGACACAAGAGAATGTAGTGTGAAGGACTCTGCACAGCATTGCCACAAGCTGTCAACAGCAGGAGAGAGGGATTTGGCAGTGATCCCACAACCTAGCTGGGGAGCTGAATGTTCACGACCTATTAAGAGGTAATTCTGCATACAATTTATATTGCCAGTTACTGTATTTAACATGGCACACATGAGTAATCAATTGCTTTCATATTTGATGAACTCTCACTTAGATGTTTAATATTCTAATACAGTGAAGCAGGGGATGGCTGTGACAGTTATGTTCAGGACTAGCAGGAGCAAGACCAGCCACCACACCTGCTCTTGTTCTTTGCAAACAAAATGAAAGCCTTTCCCATCTTTTCCACAAAAGCCCTGGGAAAAATTTGAAGTTGGAAACTGGGATTATAGGAGAGACTAATGTTTTTGGTATGTAGAAATCTGGACCAGAGAGTATTAATGAATGGCTGATGCATTGTTAAATGTCCTACTCTTATTTTAATAAGAGTAATAATAAAACATGGTGAAGACTATAAAACAGGTAAGAGAGAAATATTTGGAATCCTACTAAATTGGTAGAACATTTTTAAAAACTTCTAGAATTTTGTAAAAGAGTGTTTACATAGGTATTGTTTCCACTGTTAATGACAAAAATTCAATTTCAAGGTAGCATTTTGTACAATTTATCAAAATGAGTATGTGAAACAATAGGCCAGTAGCATGAAGCAGATGAAACAAGAGATTCTTTTGTTGGAGCCTCTGAAGAGTGTGTAATCAGAGCTCAAGTCTATGACACTTGAAAAGAAAAACTGTCAGTTCTGAACCACCAGATTAACATCCTTGCCTGTACTTAAAAGATGAATACCTCTTTTCAGTTATCTTTCCTGAAGTTGAACTGTCAAGAACAGACATCTTGAAAGCATGTTTTTTGAGTGTATTAAAAGAGCCATCCTCAGGATGGAAAGAGACAGAAGTCTGCAGTCTAAAGGAATGTAGTGCAGTGCACCTTCTAGGTCACCCTGAGATTATGGCCCAAACACAAATTGTATAAGCAAGTGTTTTAAATTTCATTTAATATGCTTGGCCAAACTAATTCTTGCTAATTTGAATTTTTGGAAATCAAGAGGTCACAAATAGACTGAGTTAAAGCATGGCTTTTTCAAAAATATACTGATGGCAGGTTTAAGAGGCAAAGTATGAGAAGTTTTGTGGCAAATGCAGTCTTACTTTTCCATGCCATTTACTCTGTTTTGCAATTTGAAGTTTTTAAAGTGCAGATATGTCTAAGTACTGATGCTAGGTAAAAAAATGCATCTTAGAAGGGAGAAGTGTGTTTCTGGACTGATTGAAACCTTTCAGTATCGCTCCAGTCATCAGAGATTAGAGAACACAGAGCCAGTCCCTTCTCAGAGGTGAACAGTACAAAGACAAGGGGATATGGCCAAAACATGTGACAAGGGACGTTCCAGTTGTACGTGAGCAACGAATGCGTGGTGAGGGTGGTTCAGCAGCCAGAACAGGACCTCAGCACCTGTAGGATCTCTGCCCTTGGGGGTTCTTGCAATTCAGCTGGAAAAGACCATGATCAGTCTAATCTAACTGTAAAGTCTGCCCTGCTTTCAGTGAAACACTGCACTTGATGATCTCCTGTAATCATCCCTACCTAAATTTTTCTGTAACTATGAATGGTAGAGGCTTCCATGACATATCATTGTTTTTTTGATAAGGAGCAATATCATTCCCATGATCAGATGAAAGATATTCAAACAGACACTGACCTTTGGCAATAAGCAGAAACCAAAGTTTCACAGGAGGATGTAAGAAACACCCCTGAAGCCAGATTTAGGACCAGCTGCTTCTACAGTATTAAGGTGGTTAGGTTTTTTTTTCCCCACCTGATATATATTGCCTAAATGCAGGCATAAGACTCAGTCTATCTTCCAAATCATGGCATAGTCATAAGTCTAAAAGTCCCGTCATTTCATGACTCCTTTTTAAGTGCTCTCCCAATTACTTCCTGTGGAAAAGAGTTGCACAGTTTAATAAGACACTTTGTGAAGTGTATTTCCTTTGATAGGTTTAAAACACTTCTCCTTTTTGTCCTCTTGTTTCTGAATAGTCTGTCACACTCTCTAAAACCTCTAGTGCAGTGTCACCATTCATAAGCGCATAGCAGTGTGATACTTTCTATTCCAGAGGAATCTTCAGAATTTACTTACCTTAAAGGATCTATAATGTTTCTTGGATTAGTCTGCATCTCATTCCTTGCATTGCAATATTTTTGGGATATTGTTGTCTTAAGCTAACCTAGCCTGGCTGATATCCATAGTTTCCAATCCCAATCACCTATAGTAAGCCAAAAAGAGAGTCTACTCCTTACAGAAACTAATTTCTCATCCAGCCCTCCCTTTTTTCTTTTCTTTTGGGTCAGTTTTGATTGGATCAGATCCTGAATTGAAATTGCTATGTGATCTTGCATTTATTTAGTCTGGTGCAGCCAAGGCAGAGGTGGTGACAATCAGGATGAAGAGAGAGCCATCTCTTCTGCTCTTGCATCTGTTTAAAGTGTCTTTGACCAGTTACTCCTGTTAGCTGACTTTTTTTAAACCACAGAAGCACACTCAGCAGAAACTTTTACTGCACCTAGAACACTGATTTTTAATTGCCTACTTATTATTAACTTCATCTAAATGGTCATTGTTCAACATGTCAGCAAAAATTTCCTGTGGCAAGGAAGTGGAAAGCAGTTGGCTGCTCTCTGGAAGTCTTTGATATTTATAAAACCTGACCTGGATTTTCCAACTAAGTTGACTGAAAAAAATTTTCCATTTCCCAAGGGGAGTTTCATTGTATTTGATAACCACATTTAGGACTTCCTCTAAAGTATCCTTGATTGAAAAGCATCTGCAAATAAATCTGTGTCCCCAGAAAGAGTTTAAGATTGCCTTAACCTTCTTTTAAGTGCAAAAATTAATGAGACCATCAGAGATCACACAGGATACAGAATTCAGTCCCTACAAAGGAAGATGTGAGGATGGACTATATCTCTCCTACAATTGCCCTGCAGTGCTTTGCAGCCATATCCCTTTCCAGCTTGTTGCAAATGGCACTTAGGATCAGCCATCCATAAATCACCAATACCATCAAAAGCCCATGAAAACATGGATTTGCTCACCATGAAAAATTCTAAGCTTTGCTTTAAGGCAGGGTCAGAATGTTCTGGTTTTAATAAATAAGCATTGAGTTAAAGATAAGTTTTCACTTCTTGTTCAGTATTAGTTACAGAAAACACCTTTTCTGCCCCTTTCCTGTTTGAAAATTCTCACTTGTACATTTGCTCTGGATTGCAGTTGTGTGACCACTTCAGTCACATCCCATGAACTCCAGTGCTTCCCTGGGTTATTGGTGTAACACCTCTTCAGTGGCTTCCACCTCATCAACTGTATTGGCCAAGAGCCCAGCTGGGTGAAACAACAGGACACCAGCACAAAGCCAGGGCTTGTGAGGCACCCATCTTGGTGGTCCAGTGCCCGCTGCCCCTGGAGGAAGCCTGCAGTCTGGAACCAGGACCTCTTGCTGAGGAACCCAGGGAGCAGACACTGTGCTGTAGATGAATGGATGCTCTGAGTTGCTTTCAGCAGTTTTGCTGCACAAGTGATACATATTGGTATGTCAGCATCTTCCCAACGTTGTTTTGAAACAGCAAGTTGGTCAAGAACACATTTTGTTCCTGTTGTCTTGTATTATCACTCACTTGCTCAACAACAAAAAATGCCAAAACCCCCAAAACTTTATGTCAAAATCTATGAGTTGAGCACATAAATCTGCAAATAGTTGCTGTTTGTCTTCCTACTCTCTTGTCATAAAGAAATTGCTTAGGAAATAACTGTCCATGATAGTCCAGAATCAGCTGCTTTACACACATATCTGTGTAACATCAATTTCTTGTCGACCAACAGCAGTGCCTTTTTAGAGGAGCATAACTGCAGTGTGATCTGTCAGCCCTCACTGCAGCTATTTCATCCCCTGACCTAAATTTGGGTGTTTGTCACCACCATAAACACTACTACTATTTGCTTCTAAGATTAAAGGGGGAAATAATGTCTTTATCTGCCTACAGTTGTAAAGCTGTGCCAGAGTAGGTTTTATTCTGTTTATTACTTCTGCTGAGGGAAAAGAGTGCCCTTCCTCATATGGTGGTAATTTTAGTGCAGGCTAGATAAAGCATATATAGAAGTAAAATGCTGGGAAATAGACTATTCTGAAATTTGAACACATTTTCTTTAATCTCTTATTTCTGGGCTTTTTGTGGGTATTGTGTATCTTGGTTTAACTGAAGGTCAGTCTTGCATTTCTGTGAGAAAAATCAGTCTTGTTCTTTTCCTGGATGAAGTTGGGAAACCTCAGGAATCTCATGCAAGTAATTTTGTGAAATTTCCATCCCAGCTTCCCAGCAGTTTAGATGCAGTCTTAGTCATACTCTGAAGAATATTCTGCCACTTAAACAAGGAGTACTAAAAGAAAAACACCCTTCTTTCAAAGATGTCTGTTGTCTATGGGCCAATAACCCTTTTTGCTAAGGACTGAAAGGTAATTGCAAGCTCTCACAAATGTCCATGTATACAATGGGGATCCATTTTTGCTAGAATGGTATTTAACTGACTTTACTTTTTAGCTTCCTTGAGCCAGAACTCCCAGATAATTCATGCTGCCTACACATTAAATCTCACTTTGTCTAAGTTGGGTGAGCCGAGAACTTGCCAGGAGGAGTGACTCAGACATGGGGATAGCCTGGTTCCCATGAAAGTCTATCCCTCTAGGCTCTGTGGGTGCAGCTGGCTCCAGGACCGGGACCATAAACATAGGCACAGCCACAGCACTATATGCACGAGCTTAATTTGCCTCAGTTTCATGTGGTTTAACTAACAAATTGTTTGATGCAGAAAACCCCAACCCAGCTCTGTAGGAGGATGTGTCTCTCTTCTATTTATGCAGAAAAACTGTGAATCCCATAATCCAGTATTCCTTCTATTTCATCAGATGTCATGAACTGCCATTTCTGCAGCTGTCTCTGCAGGCAGAGGCTGGTGCTGCATTTACGGGAACTGAGCCTCTGCTCATTTACGCTGTAGGAGGGGCTTCCACAGATGTCCTTGAATGTTTTCTGCCTCTCCAATTGTGGTTCTCAGGAAGTAAAGCGGTTTTACAAGGACCAAGGTTAGCTGGAGCCAGGCTGTGCTTTTAATTCTGTAGTTTTACAATACTTTAATGTTGTAATGCTTCTCTAAGTAGATGTGAATGTGAGAGGAAGGGGAAAAAGAGAAATGAGGGAACTGGAAAGTTGGAGAGAAGGTGAGAAATGCACATAAAACAGGAAAGAAATGAACTTGAAAGCAGAACATGGAAAATAAAAATAGAAGCAGAAAGGGAAATTAAAAAAAAAAAAAGAAGCAAAAAAGACAATTAAAAAAATGTGATTCTATTTGTCATAAGTACTTGGCTCAGCTGCAACTGAGTCTGCAAGATGGAGACACTGATAGCCGCCAGTGCAGGAAATGGGCATTGCTCACTTCTTCACAGGCTCACATGCTACAACGGATGAATGAAGAAAGAGAAGCTTAGATAAATAGGGTAATTTAAACCTGCTAGGTGTCATTTGTCAATTTTGTAATATGTAATGAGATCCTATGGAAAATTGTGCACTTTTTGCTGAGATTTTCTTACTTTCATCTGCTGACTTTTGTTCTTATTTCTCTTACCCATACTACACATCCAGGGAAGTAGTGGATCTCAGAAACAACATGCTTATGATTTACTGGAAACTTGAATTTCATGCACTGGCATGTGGGAGAAGAATCTTCAAGTAAAAATTGTTAGATTGTGGTGGCTGGCTCTGACACAAATTCCGGGACAGTGGGAGCCTTGTCTGTGCTCCCAGGCTGACTGTGCAGCCCATGAGTAGTGGAGCAGGGAACCATCCAAACCCTTGGTGGTTGCTACTGAGCCTAAGGAGTATGTGGGCAAGTTCAAACCTCAGTTCACCCTGCAGGAAGGTCATTCCTTTCATTTGTGATCTTGTATTGAGGGGGCCAACAGCCTTTTGAGCAGAACGCCACAGTAGTCATTTAACCTCAGAACAAGAGGTGGTAGGGTTTCCTTCTTTTCACAATATGTGTATTGAAGCATCTGCCAGGAAGAAAATTAAGAAGTTAACCCATGTGTTAACTTCTTCCTCACCAAAATGGATTTAACTACCTCTCCCTCCAAACTGCAGCAGTCACTAGCTGTCCCATTGCTGTGGGACAGATCCTCTCCTTTTATCATTCATGATAACCAGGATGACGGGGGTCTCATATGGGAGAAAGTTTCATTGGTTCTCTTTCAGGATCATTAAATAATCACTGGATAAAACACCTACTTTCTGTCTAAATATGGGCTTGGGCTTGACTCTTGACTGAATGGCAAAGCATTTGAATTGTGCTTATTTTACAGAGCACATATTAAATAATAAACAGGATACAGGAATCTGGCTTGCAGTCAGAGGACATAAATCTTGTCCTGGAGGTCACCATCCTATGAGACGGAAGCAAACAAATCTATCTAAAAGCACAGTTTAAAAACTTCTTTTGCTGACTGACCAAACTATGTTCAAAGGAAGTTAGTTCACCATCACATTGACCTTTTCTTCTGTGAAGGTGGCTATCACTGATTCTGTTACAATAATTTCTCACTGCAAGCACTAAGGGTTAATATAGAAAGTATTTTAGTTTAGTATATGGCATTTGTACTATCTTAACCCACTCTAAATAGTCTATTTCATTTTTACTAATTAAAGCTGTCTTCATCTGTGCAGGTTTTACAAGTGATAAAAAAAAAGGCAAGAAAACTTAAATATATCCTCAATTTCAGAGGAGCTGAGCACACTGCAACAATTGTGAACTTCAGTGGGAATACAAAGAGTCACTTCTGGAATCAAGGCTTCATAGAGGTATGTAAATATTCTCAACTTCACCTGGCAGCAGGCTCTGTCCTATTGAAAGGGATAAACTTCCAAACAATTTAACTGTTTTTCTCCAGAAGTCCATCAAGTTTGAAAATATTTTTCCAATATAATTAATGTAATTCCAATGTAATTAATTAGGTGAAAGAAATCAGCACATTTAAATGTTTCCACATGATGGCTGCATAGATGTTTTCCTTTCCCTTCAACAAAATCAGCAGCTTAGACTGATTTTTTTGTAGCTGTTTTTTGAAATAATTCCATTTTAGAACTGAAAAAGAGATTAAAAAAACCAAAGCAGAATTAAGAGATATTTTCAAATGCTTTGGAGGGCAGAGACTTGTACATATTGGAATAGAAAGAGGAAAAAAAACCCCAGCAGAGGTAATAATAAGAATGTTTCAGCTGAGAATTCAAGAGTGTGTAGCAAGATCACTGGTAAAACTGAGGAGCTGAAGTTCAAAGCCCAGAGCTGTGATGTGGGGAATATGTGGGGATAAAAAGATGAAAGGTTTGACTAGATAGAAGGCCCAAGATTTGCCAGTCTTTACGAAATGTAATTAATTTTTAAGTCCTATTTTGAGTTCATACAGTTCAGCTTAGCTTACAGAATCTTTCTTTATAGTTTTACATCTGTTAATTTTATTATGAAAATGAACTCTCCCACATAGCAGAGAATGCTAGCAATCCTGTTCTGATAAGAGATATTTATACAGCACCACCAAATCACTTTAACATAAGGGGGCCATGTGCTTATCCTCATTTCTGATGACGAGTCCACTGTAGCTATCTAAGATTTGTCAGCACTTGTTGATATTCCCTGTTCAGGCAGGGTCAGTGCTTTCCAGTGCTACTTCAGAGCAACAACTTTGACTTACTTGGATATTCTGTGAATTTAGTTGCTGTGAATTGAGACTCTTTCTTTGTGCTTGCAGCTTAGAATAGAGAGGTGCTGATATATGGACATTATGTTTATACTCACTGCTTACTCTTCCTTCCTTTCTTTCCAAATGATATAATTTAATAATAATTTTAATTTATGTCTATTGCTCAAGTTCCATCTTCAGTTTAAAAAATGTAAATTCCCAGTCATGGTTTCATCATATTAAAAGCAAATATTTGCTATTTTATGAATAGCAAATGAAGCCTTGACTGCTGTTTCTAAAACACAGTATAGTGGAATTTGTCTTAGTCTGCACAGACATTTTCTGTAAGACCTATTCTGTTAAAAAGTGAATGCTTTATTCATCAGTTTTTTTAATGGAATGCAATACCAATATAAGAAAGAAGTAACAGAAGCCTGACTTTGTGCTGATGCTACAAACATTAATAGCTGAGAAAACATATGATCTACTAGAGCATTTCTGGATTACAAGAGCTGGATAAACTTCAAGTCAGTTGGCTTTGTATAAACTAGAAGAGTGCAATGCATGTAAAATTCTGTTTATAGAGTGGTTTCCATATGAAAAAGAAAAAAACAAGCCCTGTCACAAATTGTCTTTTTATACAGGAATCATTTATCTGGTAATGGAAGTCTAAAGTAGCTAGAAAAATATCTCTGGAAGGAGAGAAAGAAAAATAACATTAGATGTTTTCTTTTAATGGATCTTTGAAACTTGTATGGTGTGACATAAAATGTCTAAAATTCAATCCTAAAAAAGTTTCATGTGAAGAAAAAAGGTTCCGTTATTATCTGAAAGTGTGATTTTCAAATAAGAGTTCCTTGTTCTAGTGGATGTCCTATCATAATGGGATCCCAAAATATTTGGTAAGAGTTCCTTGTTCTAGTGGATGTCCTATCATGGGATCCCAAATTCTTTGCATTTGGAAAGCATTGCACAGAAAGACTCCTGGGCAGAGGAGAGACAGTTGGGTGGGACAAAAATTCAGTCACACAGCTTGCACTGGGACGTTCTCCAAAGGCACACTCCACAAGGGCTTTTAGCTTTTAAGTGCACTTATCAGTAGGCTTCCTAAGCCTTGAACTTTGGTCTTCAAGGCAACAGAAAATCTGGGATTAAAAGAAAAAATCTGGTTCTGCCCAAGTTTATGCAGGACTGCATTCTCACTTGTTTTACCTGCCTTTACTGACCTTTCTGCGCTCAAATATTAGGGAAGCACTTTTCAGCTGACCTATTTTACTTGATTACTAGATATTGATATTACTTCCCATTCTCTCCAATCACGAACAGATTTGATGTCTGTGTTTGCAGTCACTTCTTTTGAATTCAAGCTGTAGCTCTAATTCTAAAATTTCTTAATTGTTCCCATTCTAAAGAATTTGTGTTGGCAATTTTTCCCTATATACACCTTTGTTTTGTGTAATGTTTTAT